TATTCATTATTTATTTAATTTATATAGTTTACTATGTTATAGTTCTAACGGTGAAAACTAAATTTAAATTAACTAGTTATTTTAAATTTAAAGTTAACATTATTTTCATATTAGAATTAAATTAAAATTAACCCAATATCTCAATTAAGTAAATAATTGATCCGAATCTAATAACATTATGAGTAAAGTCCTTTTTGAGTCCCTAAAAAAAAATACGGTTTCCATTTTTGTCTTTTATAGAAAAATTGTCCATATTAGTCATTTTTTAGAGACTAAATGTGGTCATCATTGAATTTCAGAGGAATCACATTTTTAAAAAATTGAAATTATAGAGAGCTAAAAGTAAATTTTTTTTTTTGTAATGAACGAAAGTAGGGATCATATTTTTTATTAGAGATGCAAAACAGCTTTACACTAATATTAATTAAAACATGTGTTTTTAATTAAAAAAACGTAAAAATGATGAATAAAATATTATACAAATAAATAAATTTATACAGTGTGTATAAAAAAGGGGAAAATATGTGTTATTCTAAAGTATGTAAAATTATGTTAGTTTAAAAGAGAAAAATAAATAAATAAAAAGGGAGAGAGAGTGGACAAAAAAATAAAAGTGTAGGTTTTACTTTTTCGTGAGAGTGAAATGACATAAGTTGTGTCATTTAAAAAAATAAATATTTTTTATACCAAAAAAAAGGACAAACACTTTTTAAAATAAAAATAAAAATTAACTTTATAGAAAAGATAATGCATGGCACTATGACAGTGCACTCATACTCATAGGCTTAGCTACATGTACATGCTGCAGCTGAGGACAAAAATTAACTGCACCTAACGGTGACTTGCTCTTCGTCTATGACACAATACATTTCCAATAAAAAGTGGAATCACATATTTTGACCATATATAAAAAGGGAAAAGTGTGTATCATTTTAAAGAATGTAAACTTGTATAATTTTAAGTAAGAAAAAGAGACAGATAAAAAAGGAGAAAGAGTCGACAAAAAAATATAAAAATATAGGTCCCACTTATTTGTGAGAGTGAAATGACATAAGTTGTGTCATTTAAAAAACAAATACTTTTCTCAAATAAAAAAGTGGAATAACATATTACATGAGATAATACTTTTATGGGGATGACATAAATATGTGGGCTTCCCAATTTAAAAAAAAAAAAAAATTGGCACAAAATTTTATAAATGTGTGACATAAGATAGTTTTCTTATGCAACAGAGACTATTATTTTTCTCTAAATAAAGGGATTTATAAGAATAATATTGTAGAAAAATGATTTTATCATGTCATAGAATCATTAAATGTGGGGCTCGTTTATTATTGTTTTTTTTAAAAAAAATCACACATTTCAAGTAGACCCGATTGCTGCAACATGACCAAAGCATAACTCATAAATAAAAACATAAAAAATAAAATAAATTATTATATACAACTCCAAATAGTAGCTCAGTTAGTAATTGAAAGCCCAATAATTTACTTTAGTCAGAAGTTCAAATCTTACTTAAAGAAAATTCTTGCAATTCTTTGATGGTTAATGAGAAACGTCTCTCCCTTAAAAATGGATTAATCTCCCTCTCGAAGGAATCAGTGTACTCTCTGTTTCAATGATAAATCAGCCTTAAAACATATTTATTATAGTATTTAGTTCTTAAACTCAATTCAAGTATTCATTGAGTTATTTAATTATCCAAAGTGTGAAAGAGTTAATAATTCGAAAAGAATTTGTAGTTAGACATTGACAAAAAAAAATAAAAGAAAAAATAAAAGTATGCGCGCCGTCTTCTAATCTAAACTTTTTATTCTTCACAACAAATAACTCATAACATCAATTCACATGCGAATTTGGATCCCTCGAAGTTTCAATAGAAACTGCAGTTTAATAAATTATTGAATTGATTTTAAAAGATAAGTTTATCATATAATAAAATAAATTAACAGATGTTATTCATGCAGTTTTTAGAAAAATAGTATAGGATCATAATCCATACACATAAAACCCCACACTTTGGCATATTTGAATTTATCTTTTTATTTGTTTTCTAGACTCTACAATTTTGGTGATCGTGTGCTTCCAGAGGTCATTAAAATTCGCGAAGCAAAAGAAGAATCCTATGATAGTGATTTGTGTGTTTTTTGTCCCAAAAAAATAGAGTGAGGATATTCTAACTATCAAAAATTTTTACTACTAATTTACTACCCTTCACATCATCATTGGATCAAAGAGAGAGAATGTTAAAAAGTTTTTGAAGAGAGAGAAAAAGTTAATCTAATGGTGATTGGATAGGTAATAAGTTGGTAGTGAAAAATTTTGGTACTCCAAAAAATATGAAGAAAGAGAAGTTATGTTATATAAAAGAAAAAAAAAGTTATCCTATTCTTTTCTTCCTAATTGAACACTGTATAGTAAATTTATTTGTATGTCAGAAAAAAAAAAATTAGAAAGCATGTCATAGAATTTTTTGTACATGTATAAGCCGGCCTATATATGTATTATTTATTTTAAATAAATAAATAAATAAAGTTATTATATTATTTTAGTTGTTTTTTTAATTATAAAATATTTAATAGGCTTAAACAGATTAATAGACTTAGATCAAACTTTTTATTTTTTAAATATAGGTTAGGTCAGATTTGTAATATCGGACTAAAAGACTAACAAGTCAAATCAGATCTAAGCTTTTTTTACACAAATATAACTTATTTAAAACAAAACCTAGCTTAACTTAACCTATTTACAATGATAATGTCAAACATTTTATAAATATTGAATTTGAAGCATCTTCATAAAAAAAAACTCATTTAAGACGAAAAGAACTACTTGAATAATTGCATAACTAATTAACTCGATGATGCTTTTGACCATTATTTTTGGTTAATTGCATATTTTGGCTTGGTAAAAGTCACTAAAAAAGTTATTGACGTCACATTAAATCTAATAATAATAAAAAATTATCGTAATGGAAAATTAATTGACACATTTATATTACTCTGTCCGCGGTATAAATAGGTTAGGGCGAGTTACACTTTGCATTAAAAATGTTAGATTTATGTAAAATATTTTAGACTTAACCTGGTCTGTTACTTTATATAGGCCTAAATTATAAGTATAATTTTGGCCTATGTTTAAAAAGCAAAAGACTTGGCCTAGACCTCTTAATCTGTTTAAGCTGTAGGCATTTAATTATAAAAAAACAATTAAAGTAATATTAATTATTATTCAAAAGTATTAAAATAATAATATATTTATTTTATCTAAAATAAATAATATGATATAGGCGAACTTATAAGCTTATAGGCCGACGTATAGGCTTATAGGCTCGGCATATAAAAGAAAGTCTAAGACTTACTTTTTAAATAGGCGTTTTTTGAGGTATATGCATGTTATGTTTGATTATATGAAATAGATAGAGCCTGACCAGATATTGGCTGAACCGTAGGCTCTTGTGAGGCCGGTTGACCCATTTATACCTTTATGTCCTAGGCCTCATAAATAGTAGAGAAAAACTTTAGTGGTTTTGGATCATCAAATTTGGTGGTTCCTTTTACTAAAATGAGATTTTTTTTTTATTTTCCATTTTTTTTTGCATTACATGAGAATTGAACACACACCACTACACTACATACACCTAACACACACCCCACGGCCCACACCACTAGGCTAATCCTAGTGGATTATTTTCCATTTTTAGTAAAAAAGATCATCGGACCACTAAAGTTTTTCTCTAAATCGTTCACTCTTGATTCTTTGGTTATAGTGAGGGGATTAATATGTCTTAATATCTTTCACGTACATATAAAAGTGTATAAGATTCATCTGAAAAGAAAAAAGAGAAAAAAAATGAATCCCATACACTTTTATGAATATGCAAAAGATAAAATTATTTTATATAATATGAAAAACACTAATCTCGTGACAGGATTAATAATGGTGAGTTTCATGCATTCAAGGAATAGTATAAATCAGTGTTTAAAAACTCGGCCCGATCATCGATCCGGTCGAGGTCAGGGGTCACGGAGTCACAGGTTAACCGGGGGTCACAGAGTCACTACGTTGACCCGATTTTACATATTAAAAAAATATAAATATATATATCCTATATGAAAATATTAAAAAGCAAATCACCAATTATCAAAGATTCAAAATATATTTAACATAATTCACCAATTACAATTACAAGTCAATATTACACAACTTAATTAAAGTATCAAGATACCAAAGTACAAAACTCATATTCTAATGATACCAAAGTATCAAAATACCACAAGTCTAGGTCGCTGGGAGAGAAGAGAACGATTAGATTTAGGTTTGCAAACATTTTTATTTTATTTTTTTTAATAAAACGACGTTGTTTCATGGAATTTTCTTTAATAAAAAAACATGCAGTGACTCCCTTTGACTCCTCTGACCCGAGAATCACTGAAACCTGACCGGATTTTGGGAGGTCAGAGGAGTCGATGTGCATACTAATATAAATGATTAATTTATGAGGAAAATATTTATTATTAATTACTCCAGACTAAATTTTTTGTGATATTTACGATATATTATTTATTTTAATATAATAATTTAAAAGATTTCTCCACATTTCATATATTATCCGACTAATTTAGTTCATCGAGGCTGAACACAAGGCCAATAAAATTTTACCTATCATGTTTTTAAACATAATTTATATTTAAAATTTGAACTCAAAATCACTAATTAAGGTAAAACAATCTCATGTGAATTGATTCACTAGCTTGATGTTTATAATATCATTTATGTTATGTATTATTTCGCAAATAATAAAGTTAAAAAAAATTAAAAAGTAGGAATCATTAAAATGTTACAGCTTAATTCAATAGATAGTAAAAACTTAGAGTATTGAATTTTAAACTAGTTTTTTTTTCCCTATAGTATTCTAAAAACTATTTTTTTATTATTTTTTTAACTACACTGTTCAAACGTCCCTAAAGTTTGATCTTCTTCTTATTGGCCACATAAAGTAAACCAAAGATGAACTGAAAGTGACTTTGTTGCAGGTTTGATGATATTTTAGAGGGTAGCAGGAATGGCCACTGCTAGTCCAAAGCATGAGAAGATGCACAAGAATCTAAGTACACAGCTAGCTGTTGCAGTAAGAAGTATCCAATGGAGCTATGGGATTTTCTGGGCACCTTCAACCACTGAAGAAAGGTTAGAAAAAACACCCATCTTAAAAGAGTTTTTGTTTGCTTCACTTTTGTTATGTTCTTTTCTCTTCTTCACTTCATTTCTGTTTTTCTTGGTTAAGGTAACTCTTGAATCCTAAAATTTTGGTGAACTTGATGTGTTGAATCTTGTGTAAAATGAACACCATCTGTCTTTAGTTCCATGAAGAAGTGTCATGTGGGAACTTTTGAGAGTTTACTGCTTTTATGCAACAAAAATAGAAGAATGATAAGTTATCACATCACATGTATTCCTTTTTTTTTTCCCTTCATAAATACATAGTGAGAAAATAAAATAAAATAATTCTTTAGTTATAAAAGGAAAGAATGTAAATTATTGCAAATTTTTATTCTCCCATTTTTGAATCTGCTTTACCTCATGTTATGTGAATCATGTGACAGTAGAGTACTGGAATGGAGGGATGGATACTATAATGGGGACATTAAGACAAGGAAGACAGTTCAAACCATGGAAATGAAAGCTGATAAGATAGGCTTGCAGAGGAGTGAGCAACTGAAAGAGCTATACAAGTTTCTTCATGAAGGTGAAGCTGACCCTCATACTAAAAGACCTTCTGATGCATTATCTCCAGAGGATCTCTCAGACTCAGAGTGGTATTACTTGATTTGCATGTCCTTTGTATTCAGTCCCAACCAAAGGTACTAGAAATTTCTCTTTTTGTTAAATCCTTTCTGCTTAAGTTCTTATAGTCTTATTCATTTTTAATGTTTCACCATGGTGGATTTTTCTTTCCTTGTCACTTAGTTTGCCTGGAAGAGCACTAGAAATTGGTGAAACAATCTGGTTATGTAATGCTCAATATGCAGATAGTAAAGTTTTCTCTCGTTCTTTGCTAGCAAAGGTTGGACTTTTCCCATCAATTTTTTTTTTTAAAAAATAAATAAATATATATTGCAATATATCCTTACATTTAAAAAAAAAAAAAAATATTATTTACATATGGTATCATAACATATATAATGTATGATTGAAGTAATAGCTACATAATTTTGTCAAAAGCTAGAAAAAACTGACTTTCTTCTTTTTTAAACATTTTCATCTGGTCATGGGTGTCAATTGCTGTTCCCAGAGTGCATCAATTCAGGTATGATGTTCTTTCAGCAACAACAACACCTTTATCCCAAACTAGTTGGGTTGGTCTATGATGTTCTTTGTAGAAATAAAAAATTTAAGGTTGTAATTTCTTCCCTTTATATAATATGGAAACCAAAGCAGAAAGCAAGTTTGTAATTTTTTATAGAAGTCCATGATTATGTCTTTTTAATGCAAGGGATGAATAATATGTTACTTTGATAGAATCCCATATTCTGAGCTTTACCTTGTGATAGAAACACATATATTAATGTTCATATTGTGTGTTAAAACCTGTTTCACAGACTGTGGTGTGTTTTCCATACCTGGGAGGCGTTATTGAGATAGGCACAACTGAACTGGTAATTTTTTTCTATTTTTTCATTGTGTTCTTTTTCCAAAAGCTAGTTTGTTTATCTTTTCAATGTCAAAAATCTATATGAAGATATGCAGCTGATAACTTGTGATAACAGAAAACATTTTTTCTCTTTGGTTTGTTATTGATAGGTGTCGGAGGATCCTAATCTCATTCAACATGTCAAGGCTTGTCTCTTAGAAATCTCAAAGCCTATTTGCTCTGATAAATCTTCCTCATCCCTTTATAAACCAGATGATGACGAATATCCAACATGCACCAAGGTTGACCATGGGATGTTAGATAAAATGGCTTTGGATAATTCATGTTCTCATGCAGAAGAAATCAAATTTGAACAAGATCCTGTGAAGGAATTACAAGATGATAACAATGAAGATTTTAACATGGATTCTCCGGGTGGATGTTCTAATGGTTGTGAGCACCATTGCCATATGGATGAATCCATGATTGATGGCATCAATAGTGGGCCTTCTCAAGTTCATATTTTGAAGGATGCCTTAGTCAAAATAGCCCCAGATTCTCTGAGTTCTTGTAATTGTATGTCTGAAGCTTCTAAGGATGCAAGCCAAATTCAACTAAGGGAACTTCAAGACTGCAATCAATCAAAAAGGAGCTCCTTTGATATTGGAGCTGATGAAGACTTGTACTATACAAGAACTCTTTGTGCTATTTTGGGAAATTCATCAACATTTAAACAAAACTCATGTGCTAATAACTCAAATTGCAAATCCAGTTTTGTGAAATGGAAGAAAGGAGGGATTTCTGAAAGGAAGAGGCCACGGTTGAACCAAAGCATGTTAAAGAAGACTTTGTTTAATGTCCCTTTTATGCACAGAAGTTGCTCTTATCTCAAGCCACAAAAAGAAAATGACAGAATAGAATGGACTAGTAAATTGGAAAATGAAGATAATTTCATTGGAAACGGCTTCTCTGATATAAAAAGAGAAACTAAAAACTTTCAGGTCCTCAAATCTGTAATTCCTTCTTCTATAAGTCAGGTATTTACTTGTCATCTGCTAAAACTAATGTTATCATTGAATGTGAGTAATGTAAAACTGCTATTGTCAAGGGGCCACTTCATCTAAAAGCTTGAGCTATTTAGTATAGGTCCAAGTATGATTTCTTAAAGCTTTTAGAAGTCATAAAGGATATGTCAGTTTGTTGTTGCAGTATTTTGTCATGAATTACTTTTCAAACCCTTTAAATTATTTCATGAGGCCACTTTGTAAATATTGGCATATCTTAATGTGCAGGTGGAGAAGATTTCAATCCTTGAGGACACAATTAAATACTTGAAAGAACTTGAAGCTAGAGTGGGAGAACTAGAATCTTGCATGGACATTGCACATTCTGAATCAACAACCAGAAGAAAATGCCCAGATGTGTTAGAGCAGATATCAGATAACTATGGTCCCAGAAAGATTTACATGGGCATGAAACCTTGGATAAACAAGAGGAAGGCTTGTGATATTGAAGAGATAAACACAGAGGTAGATAGAATTGTTTCTGAAGAAGATAAGCCATCGGATGTGAAAGTCAACATGAAGCAGCAAGAGGTTCAGATTGAGATGAAATGTCCTTACAGGGAATACATATTGCATGATATCATGGATGCCATAAACAATCTGCATTTAGATGCCCACACAGTTGAATCGTCAACAACTGATGGTGTTCTCACATTGACACTTAAATCTAAGGTTTGTCATTCTAATTTTTTATAGTTGTTAGAGAATAATACAAACCATTGAAAATGCCTTTCACCCAACGCCTTAAGATTTTGGGTTAAAGTAATTCTTTACATGGTATCAGAGCTTCAGTGACCACTAGGTCACAAGTTCGATCCTCACCACCCCCACTTTCTAGTGGAATTAAAATAAACACAAGGTAAAACCAAAAATTGGACCTGTGTAATATCCACGCTTCAAGCCCAAAGGGCTCTTGTATGAGGGGCGTGTTAGAGAATAATATAAACCATTAAAAAGACCTTCATCCAACACCTTAAGGTTTTTGGTTGAAATGGTTCTTTACACTAGTATAAAGTATTAACTACATTCTTGTATCTGCATCTAAATGCTTTTTTCTTCCAAAAAGTAGCATGTTTATGACCTTCTTCCAAATTATCTTAGACAACCTTTTCTGCTGGGGGCATTGTGACCATTGGTTACCTAAGCCTGGCTTGAAGGTAAGGGAAGAGTATGTTAATTCTAGGTTCTGACATTATTTAGCCTATAGCAGTGATTTATTTTGAGTAGTTTGAAAAAAGTCTTATTTGGAAACTCCTACATGTGCGGTGAGAATTAAACTCGTAACCACTTAGTTCCTTTGCTACCATGTAAATAACTATTTCATCTACTCAAGTTGTGAAATGAAAGTCACATTAATAGTTTTATATTATATTTCTATGGCAGGTAGTTTTCTTTATTATTTATCCACTCCCTTTAATCATTGTTGAGAAGTTTGAACTCTTTTAGAACTTTATTTCAGTTTCGAGGAGCAGCAACTGCATCAATGGGGATGATAAAAAAAGCACTATTGAAAGTATCTGGAAATATTTGACTTGCCTATTTGGATTTCTCATGGAAGTAGCAAATACTTCTGATTAAGTAACTTCAACCTTGTAATTCCAGAACATTGTTGTGTGAACATTGATTTTGGCTATTGTGCTTAACTGCTGATTTGTTAGCGTTATAAGGGACCCCTTCTGCAATATAATTTAGGTCCTGTCGTGTTCAAAACACTTCAATCGATATGTTAGTATGCATTTGTATGATTTTTGTTTGCTGTTACTGCCAGCAGTGTAGAACTGTTTCCTTGCATTTAGGATGTGAATTTTGAATGTATGATTCCAATGTGATCAAATGGTGCTTGAACAGCCACATAGGGAAAGGAAAATTGTCTCTAAAATGATTGTTCACATTATAACAGGCAAAAGTGCAGCATAAATTAATATTTCAAGAGAATACAAGGGAAGTGGGCAATGTAATTTAAATATATTTCAAGAGAGGGGAGTGAAATTTACTCTAAAAAAAGGAACTATTTAAATCTGGGTTAGCTTTTTCTGCAGTAAGCTCAATACGGCATTATTTTGGGACAGAAATCATGGTGTTTTTGTAATTTTAATTTATTTTAGGGTTATTATAATCTTTATAATTATATTTTTTTAATTTTTCAATCTCAAAACGATGTCTTTTTGAAAATAAATGCAGATAACTTATCTGCAGTAACTGCAGAAATATTTTTCGGTTTAAATATTTGTTCCAAGAGATGCAAGCATGATAAACAACAAAATTATCTTTTATTTGATCCATTTGGTGTGGATTTGCTCTCTTATATTGTGAAATATTACTTTGTAATTCTTTGTAGTGACATCAATTTTTTTTTCTTCTACTACCTTCTTTCTTTATTCATGAGGTGCATTCTGTGATTGCTATCTATATTATTTATTAATGTGTAAACTATTTGAAGATGAAACCCTTACTCAACTAATTTGCGTGCAATCTCTACTTTGAATGCCATAGTTTATTTTCAAAAAGATATACGTATCTGAATCATTGTCAATTTACTTATATTTTGTCTACTTTTTAGGCTCATACTGTTGATACCAACCTTTTGGGAAGTAGACTAATTTAATCACTAGTTCACAACTATGATCTTTCTATGTTTTGTTGTATTGATGAAATTATTGATTATTAAACATATACTTTATTTGTAACAGTTGACTATAGGGTGAATAAACAAGTATTTTTTCCTAAAATTATGAAAACGTTTGTTTATAATAGTGTGGTATGGCCAAATGCCAAAATAATGAATTCGTCATTGTGATCATACTTCCCATAAATACACAAATTAATAGATAAAAAAGAAAGATGATTTGTTGCAAGAAAAAAAGAAAAAAGAAAAAAAGAAACATCGGGTTGTCTATCGTATTATCGTGTGATGCTCAAGCAAGAGAATGATATAGTAATTAATGATGTTTAATTAATCAGCATGCAGAAGCATGTGATTTATATATGATTTTTTTAATTTTTGTAATAGAAAAGACATTAGATTAGCTAACTTTTCAAACAAATACGATTCATGATTTCACACTTATTCTCTCTCTTTTTGTCTTCGTTAATATATTTCATATAATATGAGAATATGGTTATATTGACAAACTTTTTTTTATAAATTTATAAATTACACTATATCTGACCGGTAATACTCTACTAAGAGTGTATTGCCGGTAAGGGTATAAATAGGCTAAGTTAGGCTGACTTTGGCTTAAATAGGCCAGACTTGTATAAAAAATATTGGGTATAGTTTGAACTATTAGCCTGTGTAGACCCCAAATTACAAGTCTGGCATGATCTATATTTAAAAAATAAAAGCCTTGGCCTAGGCCTGTTAGCCTGTTTAAGCTTATTAAATATTCAACAATTTAAAGAATAACTAATTTGTTTATTATTATTCAAAATTATTAAAATAATAATTTTATTTATATATTTTAAATAAATAATATGGTATAGACCAACCTGTAAACTTATAGGCCCGACATGTACAAAAAAGCCTGAGACTTATTTTCTAAATAGGTTTTTTAAAAGTCCATGCCTGTTCTATTTTACTATTTATAATAGACTAAACTTGACCTAATATAGGCTAGGCCGTAGGTCCCTTGTAAGTCGGCCTAACCCATTTACACCCCTAATTACCGGTTAGACATAATATAATTTGTAAGAGTTTATAAACAAAAAATTTATAAATATAACCTCTTCCCTGTAATATCATCCTATTCTATGTAATGCCGAAGAGTACGTGAATTGACAAAATAAAAAGAACTAGGATTTTAGAGTCTCTGTAACTTTCAATAATATTTTATTTAACCAAAAACAACAAAATAAATTAAGGTTCACTACACCCTTAAATACAGAATGAAAAGTCAAATAATAGAAATTACGAAACCATCCTTATGAAAATAAAAGATTATATTAAATAAAATTAATTAAAAACTCCATAAAAACGATCTGAAAGTTCAAAAAATGCTAGTGCTCATTGCAAAAGCATGACCCTTGATCAATCACTGTGTGTTTTATATCTTGGGATAAGATGCTTTCATCAATTTTGTCTTTTCAGTTTATTTATTTTCCTTAGATAACTAAGAACTTCATAGGACATTCAAGAAAATCTATCTATGCAAGTAAAGGAAGGGTTTCTTTGTTACTTGATGCATTTGGAAAAACCAACAAAGAGCACACATATTTGGTAGTGGAAACTAATCTAGAAGAAAAATCTAGCTAGACAGTGAATAGGTGTTCCTTATTGTTACTTGGTACCAGTTTTCTATAAAATGTAGGCGATTTTATAATCTTACCAACCATACAATATTGTCATAGATCTATGTATGCTTTTAAAAATTTTATTATTGTTTGCTAAATAAATAATGCTATGCTCATCCAACCAAACAACAATAAGAACAGAACACATTATTCTTCATTTGCAGTTGGAAACTCCAACTATAAATCTTCATACAACCAAACACCTGATCAAATTTTCTAACCCAACTAAAAACAATACAATATTTTGTTCTCTTTAACTATAAAACAATGGGACATATTTAAATATACACATTTAAAGGCCAGCAAAGTTTATCTGTCTATTTATTTTATATACCACTTTCATCATCACTTAGAGCACCATAAATGTAAGTCAGAACAAGCATAAATTATTATCTATGTGATTTTCAATTCTGTAACCATTTACAGTTGAGAGGTGATCCCAGCAAAATCTCTGACTGTGTAACCCACTTTTTCAAATTTTCCTCTTTGATTGTTCTCTCTGAATTTCAAGTAGTCCTGGCACAAAAAAGGGTTGTAGATTCTCTTGTTTCCTTCTCCAACCACTTCATTTGGTGCCATGATGACCTTTTCATCCTCAAAGCACCAAAAGAAAGCTAGGGAAAACCGGTTCATAGGTTGCTTCAAAACAACTCTATGTTCAGATGACCTTAATTTATCATTGCTCCAAGCTTGCATCATATCCCCTAAGTTCACCACAAGGGTCCCTTCAGAAGGACTTATGTCTATCCACTTTCCTTCATGTGATTTCACCTGAAGCCCTCCTATTTCATCTTGATATAAGATAGTAATACAACTCATGTCAGTATGCATCCCAAGTCCCTCAACTTGATCTTCCAAACTTTCTGGAGCAGAATAGTTGTTTATCCTCAAGTAACCGTGGCACTTCTTGAATTCAGAATCATAAAACAACTTCTCAAAATCATCACCTAAGCTCATTAACACAAGCTTTAGGATTTTTTCAGACAAATCCTCCATCTTACTACAATATTCCTGAAGTTTCTCACTATTCAAAAACATAAAAAAGAGAAACAAACTCATGCTTAGATTAAATAAAAGAGAGGAATTAAGCATAGAATAGCAAAATAGTACTAAGGGATAATAACAATGTGCTTATATGCATTACCTGAATTTGGAATTCTGTTTGTCAAAGAGGATATCTTCAGAACTCTTAGCAGAAACATAGAAGTTGGGTCCATTAATTCGGAGGCTCTCAAAGAATGGAGAAGCAATGAAGTGAGGGGTGTAAGATTTTATAGAGGAGAAAGGACCAAGTTTAAGTTTGGTATTAGAGGGAAGGCTAAAGAGGTATTTGGATAATAAATGGAGCTGGCTGCAAAGATCTTTGGAGATTCCATGGTTGATTATGTGGAAAAATCCCCAATCTTTGCAGGCTTTAGAGAGAGAGGTTAGAGAAGATGGTTGTAATGGCTGAGATATGTCTAAAATAGGAAGATCAGCACAAGGTTTGGACTTAGACATTATGACTAAGATGTGAATAAGAGATATGGTATGTTGCCAGCAAAGTTTGGAGTTATTTAATATATAGAAGTTTGGTCAGAAGCTTGGAGCTGAAGAAGGATAATTCAAGCACACAGACATAAGACAGAGTATAAAGAAGGAAAGTCTATTATTTTTGTCATCAAGTGGAGAAATGCCAACAAAGATATATATAGCATTAAGCTAAGACAAAACTAACTTGTTGGTCCTTTGCATAGAGTCATTAGGATATAAACTAATTATTAGGAAATTAATGATTGGCCTAAACTGAATGGTTGTGGGCTAAATGAGTCTATTTGAAAAGGCTATAAATAAAAAAGTGATCAACAAGGGTCAATAAAGATACAAATTCTGTTGCCAAAAGTGCATACATTTTTTCTCACCCTCTCATGAAACAGTCATTTACTTCATAGTTAACACAAATACAAAGATGGGTATCTTATGTTATAAATGAGATGGAGAAAGTGATTAAGAGATAACAAGAATTGGTTAGCAGATAGAAAAATACAAGACAGAGATGTTGTGGAAACTTTTGTTGTTTTCTTTTCTTTTTTTATTTCCCACTGCTTGATTTTAATATGCCTTCACACTCAGCAAGACAGGCTGGTAAACAAGCATTCCAACCACGATGAATTTGTATATTCCGTTATGCATGGAACTCACATTTTTCTATGAAAAGTTTTGACTAAATACTTGGTCAATTTGCATCTAGATGCTATAGTTTAAGTAAAAGAAAGCATATAATTAAGTTCACAAATTACAAAACCATATAGAGGCTTTTAGCAGCTCTAAATTTGTCAAATTCATATATGAGTTCACAAGAATAACCTGCACATGCCATGAAAATATTTTTTCAATATCAACCCTAATAAACTCTTTAAGGCGAGTAGGCTCTTTCGGGTATTCTCACAAACTTCGGCTCTTTGAATTGGCTATGAAACTAATATCGAATGCGGGGCGGGTCAATGATTAAGATTTTATGTCCCTCTCCAAACTGGCATTGGTGTGGATCGAATCGAGCTCCTTCCCCATCCACTCAACTCTCTTGCACAAACTAGGCTATCATCATGAAAATATTAGTATCATAGTACTTGAGCAAATTGCACTAGGAAACTATCAAAATAGACATGCATAAGGTTTAATTAATGCAATGATTCCAAACCCTATAGTTGTGCAAGTCAAGGACTTTGTTTTTGTTCACCCCTTTCCATATTCCCAAAATGCAACGGGACAAAATGATATCTAGGACATGATAGGATTGACCTAAGAAGAAAGATTAGCAATTGAATCATTATGGTATTCAAACAAGGTTAGACACAGAATCAGGACACTAGATTGCGCTGGGATTGTTATGATTGCACTTAGCATCATTAATATCCAAAAAGGTACTATACAGATTTTATCTTACCACTCACGCCTTTCCTTTTGATTAGTCACCTTTTTTTAACCAAATCCATTTATGGTTTTCTCAATTATTAACGTACAGTGGCAAATCTTTATGGTGGAATATACCAGAACAAACTTTTAATGAAGATTTAACTTTAATTTGTGGACAATGTTAAGAAGCTTACACCATCAATAAAATATTGTATGATGTTATCAATTTTTGTTTAAAAATTTCGTAAATAAATATATTTTATTATTTTATTTAATGAAAACAAATTCAAGTTGATGATAAATCAAATTTAAACTCTTTTGACTATCTACGCATTTTTTTTAATGGATTTCAACATTTCTAATCACACGAGTTGTTTTAAGGGTGTTTGGTATGACTATTTGGTATGGAATGATGGGAAAGTGGGGTGGAAAATAAATATTTACCATGTTTGGTATGAATATTGTGAACAAAATGGCAGCAAATTTTTTTACTCATATTTTCCTTGTGAATTACACAAAGGCAAATTTTTTTCCCACTTAATCTTTGGTATTTTCCCCCCTTGATCTTGGATTCTCAAAAAGTAACATTTGATTCACTTTTTCCCAAAAATAAGCAACATTTGATCATGACTCACTTGGCATATTCAAAAAATTAAAGGATATTTTGATAATTTCATGGAAAAAATGAAAATTCAGTCACTGGACGAGAGAACTTAGTGCACTAAATATTATAATTGTGTTCTCCAGGGAGAATATAGTTATAATATTTACTATAATTGTGTTCTCGCGGGAGAACTTAGTGCACTGGACCGAATTTTACATCCAGTCACTATACACTCACTAAACCCTAATTTCATTCACATTTCCATCAATATTTTATCATCAACCAAACAAAGCATCAATAAAATTAACCCAACTTTTCTTGCAAAATTTTGGCCAATCAAATAGCTTTTTTGTAACTTATCCGGGATAAAAAAATTTCTATCAAATCCGTAACAATCTTTTTTTCTCAATAAAAAAAATATATCTTTCATACCAAGTATATCTCTCGGTAAATTCACTTTCAATGTTTTTCCTAAGAATGACAAATAGGAATGACAAAGCGGACAACTCACCCCTCTGACCTCTAATCCGTTTTAAAATGAGATAATCTATTCCGTCTCATTTTTTGTAAATGAGATAAAAATTTGAACCCAATTTTGAAATTTTTATCACTTCTTGTCAGTTATATTTTAATTCTTCAAATAAAAAATAAATATATTCTTAAGTGATATAAACTAAGGGAATTGTTTTTTTATGTAACATAAGAGAAAAATAATCTTCATACAAATTAAATGTGAGACTTAGGGTGTGTTTGAAAGTGTTTTAGTTTTTTTAGTTTTTTTGTTTTAAAAAACTGTTTAAAATATGAATTTTAAAAACTGATTTTGAGAGTAAAAAAATAAAAAATCTTGTTTGACTGTAATTAAATTAAAGTTATAAAGAAGTTGTAATTATTTACAAAAATGTCATTAATGAAATTTTAGAATTACAAAAATGCCATCTAATATTTACGAAACTGCCATTAATAAAATTTTAGAATTACAAAAATGCCATCTAATATTTACGAAATTGCCATTAATGAATGCTGATAATTATGATTTTGCCACCGCCTAAAAAAAATTCGCAAACAGCGCCAGAGAACATCCTCAAGTTGTTTTGGTTTTCTGGTTTTAAAAACTAAAAAAGAGTCATTGTTTTGGGAAGCATTTTGCAAAACAATTATTCCCAAACAGATTTTTTTATTTTTTTTGTTTTAAAAACTTTAAAACTGTTTTTAAGAACAAGAATCAAGCAGACCCTTATTTAAATTTTTTTTTTACTCCCCTCTTTTTTCTTTGAATGTCCGTAGAAAATTATTTTTCTCTTATGCCACGTAAGAAAAACTATTCCCATTAACTAATTGACCAACTCGACTTAGGTGGATTAACCAAAATTGAAGCCAAGCCAAATCAAACTTAAAAAGGGCTTAAAATTTTGTTATCCTAAAGTAAACAAGACATTTTATGAGATTATTTGGGTTTGTCCATCAAATTCATTCCATTTTGATATCTTTATAAATTATAACCAAGTTTTTCTCCAACACGTCTTCCCATACTGATTCATTAAGGAATGTCTTATAATACTCAAGTTTTTCAAGAAGGTCATTAGCTTTTTGCAAATCCTCCAAATTAAATTCTAATAGTTCATCCATCATCTTTAAGAACTACAAGGCTTTCATATGTAGTGTTGAGCAATTTCCTAATAACTTGCCACAATACCACATGCACTTAAATCAATCATTGACATGTACAAGGTTACGTGAGTCATGTTCGAAATTGTAATTTTTCTTTGTTATCACTTCGATCTAAGTTGTTGGGAAATCAAACCAACTTATGGTAGAACCCGGATGTAAAATTTGTCCACACATCATGTTAACATTTTGAATCAACTCATTTAGCATCTGTACTAGCTATTATTCAGTGATCTGCAAAGTTCTAGCACATGCCACTGTATATCAGTATAAAAGACGTAAACTTGCTAGGTTGCCATTGTAGCAGTTGGCTCTACAACTTAACACTAGTCACCGCTAAAACCCATCTCAAGTAGCTTGCTTGATTTATATGTACAATTTGTTCACTTGTATTCAACTCAATTCAATTTGTCACCTCTAAAATCTCTTCCAAATAATGGTAGCTCAGTTGGCGCATGTGAACTAAGCAGATGGAAGTAAGAACATGTGTTCGATCCTCCCTAGTACTCTATCTTTGGAGGAGGTTTAAAAACTTAATTCAAGACCTGTCCCGAGCTCCGGATTTGTCAATAAGAGAACCTATGGGATTACCGGAAGAATAATCTCCTAAAAAAAAAGGATAACATACTTAACTTTTGTGACTAGGAAAATTCTATAAAGATCTCTCTGGATAACAAAGTAAGGTAATTTGTTCAGATGAAGCCATTACCTTAGGCGCTCCTTCTGTTGAAGGTAGAAACATATCTACTCTTTTGCCCATCCCTCGGAAGGAGTTGTTGGTGTTGGACTATGAAGCACCGACACTTTAAAAATCCCGACGTGCTGTGTTCGACACTTCCCGACACTCCAACGCGCGTTGTAGAAATTCAAAAAAAAAGTTTAAATGTTGCGTTGTGTTGCGTTTTTAGTTCTAACTATTAGATTCGTTGGATTACTATTACCATTTTATTAAATTTAATATAAATATTTATGATATCTTATATTTCTTTAAAAATTAATGAGTAGCATAAGTTTAGCTTTATTTTTTTTGTTACATTATTGAATATTAAATATAATATACGTAACATAAATTAAAAATATTATTTAATATCAAAACGTGTCCTAACGTGTCGAAATCTAACATTTTTTAAAATTAACGTGTCGGAGTGTCGAGTTGTGTCTTGTCCCGTGTCGGTATCGGTGCTACATAAGTGTTGGAGAGGCCAACATCCTATCTTGGCAAGACTCGGTGTGAGATCAGAGTCAAATCAAACCATGACACTTGAGTTGATAGAAATAAATAGAAAGGGTTATGCCCTGACTATCAGCTATATCTTTTGGCCTAGAAGAAAGCGCTCGATCCAGTAATAGGATCCAATCTAATCTCCTATACCGGATCAACTTCATTTTTTAATAACTGCATAATAATAGCAACAATAATTCGTAACATTATTTAAGGCTGCAGCAAAATCAACCAGTTTGGATTTTGAGTGCTCCTTTGACAGCTATGAACAAAACATTACGCATAGAGCTAGCTATTTTTTCCTACATCTGGAAAGGCATATTATAGTTTTGGGGTCACATTTCTCATCACCAGAACTAATCCAAGACACAAGGCAATTTATTTCGACTTCATGTGCATTTATGATCTAAAACTATAAAGAGATAAGAAGACAAGTTTTTAAAGGTTATACAATCCACCAAAACCATAAAATGGTGGTCCAGCTCTCACTACCCAAACCATTAATCTAGAATATTCACATGGCCATGTTGATCCTACATGTAAGATTGCATTACAACAGAACATCATACTGAACTAAAATGGGTGCTTAATATAAATAAAAAAATTCTTACTTTAGGCCGAAAAAATAGAATAACAAAAGATGAGAGCAAGAAAGAAGCAAAGAATGCTTTATTAAAGCTTGAGAGCAAGAAATTTGTTATGGATGTGTCTTCTTGAACACCATATGACCTGAGTCATCCACATCAAACAGGCGCCCAACAAATTCATTCCAATTTTCTGTTTGATTCTTATAAGACAAAGGGGAGCCTTTGTCACTTGATCTTCCAGAATCCTCCCCAACATTCATTTCATGAAATGTTCCATATGAAGAAGGTGAATATGCTTGAGGAATGTCCAAAGCAACTGCCCTCTGAAGGGCTGCACGGTACTCTTCATTGTGTCCTCGAGCTAGAGATTCATGCCTCTCCATCCTCTGCTCTGCTGGAATCTCCATACTCCGATCTTTCTCTAGCATTAACTGATGAAATATAATGGTTTAAATGGACATAGACATTACATGTCAGTGTAGAAAGATGAGTATGCACAGGAATATACAAAAAATATCACCACTTTCCATTAAATCCCGACTAGGAAGGGTGGGATAAGGACAATCTTTATACACGGTCTTATCTTTGCATAATTGCAAAAATGTTGTTTCTCGAATTTGAATCCGTGACCTTTTAGTCACAAAGAAACAGCTTTATCACTACTTTAGTCTCGCTCTCTTAATATACAGAAAATACCATGTTTAAATAATATGCTTCCTTATTTTTCAACAAATCTTTGCTTTACCCAGCGGAAGTTCCACAGCTATGATGAACTCACTGAGTACAAGCCAGGGTTCAAAAAGCATTAAAGCACAAGTTGCTCTAGAACTGTATAATTTATATATCAGTAGACAGCTTTGCTAATAAAGAAAGAAGCAAATACTTACATTGAGAGCCCATTGGGATTCTCTCTCTATCCAAATGATGGAATGGTCAGCAGTTGCATTGCAAGAAAGAACTATATGTTCAAACCTCCCATCAACAGGAACAGCAGTCCGAACGACTGGTGGAAATCTTCCTATCCTGCAAGCAGAAGAGGCTATACTCCAAATTATTGCTGCTTTCAGCTTAAATAATATTCTATTCATCAAACTTAATGACTTGACAGATTTAAACATATATGACAAGTGGATTTTTTTTAACATAAATACATCAGAAGGTGAGCCTTGAAGTATTGATAAGGTTTCTCCTTTGTGACCGGAGGATCACAAGTTCAAGTCTAGGAACCATGGTAATTAAAATCTCTTATCACTATGTTTTTATGTTTTTACAATTTTTTTTCATCAAAACGTTTTTAACAATATTCCAAACGTTTTTACGATTTTTTATGATTTTTTTTTTACATTACTATTTTACGTTTTACGACTTTTTATCCCTTTTCCGTTTTTACATAAATCTTGTTTTTAACTACCGTGCTAGGAACCAGCCTCTTTTAAAATATGTAAAGGTAAGGCTATGTACAATCTATCCTCATCCCTATTACGGTTGCAAAGTCAGGGTGGTTTTCCTTTTTTTATAAACACATGCATCAAACCATAAATTACACAATTAGGCAGACTCAAATGTCATTCTCAATAACTCATATTCTCAAAACGTGTTTCATAGATGATATTATAGGTGTCATAGGGTACACATATGCACACAAATTAAGGGTATTGGCAGGGCACTTACAACATTCTACAGCAAAGTTATCTCCTAATGTAAATTCTTTTGAACTTTCCTACAAAAAATAAGTAACTGTTGTCGCCTTTTATATATATAAAAAAGTGAAGTTACCTCCTTATACACAGAAGTTACAATTTTTTATAATTACAAGTGGCAAAAAAGTTTGCAAGCATTTATTGCAGAACAACAAAAGATTGTGAACTTTTGTAGAATGTTGTAAATACCTTATAAATACATTTATATTATGTCCAATACTCAAGGGAAAATATGGTCAAAGCTGTATTTAATAATCCTTAATGGCCTGCTCCCCAAATAGAGCACAAAGATTGAGGCATTACATGTGATACAATCCATCCAATGTACTGGCTTCTTAACATATGAGCTGACATTATGTTGGAGCAGGTCCTCACAAACTGATTGGGTTTGCACTTAGTAGTAGTTGAAATCATAATAATCTTAATAAAAACTTGCAAAAAAAAAAAAAATCACAGGGTTCTAGATGACCAAAATAAAAATAAGGTTAATTGGCCTGCATCTGTATAAACCTTCCAGGGCAAACCCATGCAAGTGGAATGTTTACCGAATGCCTCCCGGGCAGAGTTTAAGGGATAGAATCATCTCCTTTTGACTAAATTCATCAATTTCCTCCACAATTAGCTCACTCTCTTATGTTGGACCATGTTTAGAAAGATGAAAAGTATATAATAGCCTTTTTGTTAAAATTCATAAGTTTACCTTACATAGTGACTACAAGCAGAACTATGAGAAGGGTCATCTTTTAATTAGAGGAAGTACAATAAAATATTGTATGCTATGAGATAAATAAATATTCAGTAAAAATTTACTGAGAGGGCATCATACCTGAAGGGCTTTCGCTCAACAATGTGATAGAGACGACCAGGTGCATATAGACGCCTTGGATCTCTAAGCATCTTCTCCTCGAGTGTGCAAGTATCCTTTAAGCACATTAGACACAATAAACAGGGCCAACTGCCAAGAAAGGATGACAACCATTGTAGCTCATCTTAGTGGCAAGAACCGGATTGTGCTAATCCAATGCATAAGCATGAAAGGATAACAACCTTTGTATCTCATCCTAATGGCAAAAGCTGGATTGCACTAATCTAATGCATATGCATGAAAAATTGAAAAACTTATTTCCTCTCGTTAGTATTATTAGTTTATTATATCATGCTTCACCCAACAATTCTCAAAAGCTCTGAATAAATACAGGAGCTGGTTATTCACTGAGCAAATAAATACCATAACTGGTTCGAATCAGACACAAATTCGGGAACAAAAAAAGTGATTTTTCTGTAAGAGAAGTGTCCAGCTGATGATAAATTGGTAACTAATATATATATATATATATATATATATATATATATATATATATATATTGGTGAAATGTTAACTAGAAAATATTTAATAAGTGTTAAAAATGCAGGTAGTTACTGATAGAGGTTGAGACAGGTTAAGGACCAACTTCCAAAGAGATTAAGCTGTTAGATTTAAGGCCAAGAATGACTTTTATTCTAACGTGCCCCCTTAAGCATAATGTCCTTTGGACTTGAAGCAAGGACAAAGTATACGCCTGTTATATCTTCTGATGAAATCAGTTTAATTATGCAAGAGAGGCTTTGATACCACGTACAAGAGTAATGTTTCCCAAGAGTTTAAGTTGTTAGGTGTAGGTCCAAGAATGGTTTTGTATCTCTAACAAAAGGCATTGCTCTAACATATCCGAATCTTCCATATCAAACTTCCAAATAATGGGAATCCAAAGATGTAGAAGAGATCAGGTGTTCAATTCTCTGATTTGAATTAATAGTTTTTGTAGAGAACCAATTCAAGCCAAAAGCTTAAGCTGTTAAGTTAAGGCCTCTTTAATAGTTTTATATATCTCTAACACGCCTCCTCACAAGAGAGCCCATTGGGCTTGAAAGGTGGATGATGCATCATGCCCAGCCTACCTGTGCTAAGAAATTCCACAAAGAAAATGGGGGGCGACGAGAATCGAACCCGGGACACCGAAGAACTGATACCATATAAAGAACCAATTCAACCCAAAATCTTATGTTGTTAAGTGAAAGTTTCTATGATGGTTTATACTATTCTAACAGCTTTAACTTTTAATTATTCCATGACAACACTACAGATTTGAATCTTTTTAAACTGTTAGCCCTCTACTCTACTGGCTTCGTAAAATTAGTCTTTGATTCTTAAACAATGGGACAACCTAAATACCTCTCCCTTTGCCAGAGGGGGAAGGGCAAAAAAAAATTTCTTTTTTTTTACCATAAAAGTGACTTGAAGACGTCTTCTAGAGCAGTGGTTGTCCGAGGTAAAAAATCGTCCTGGTTTGTCATAGTAAACAAGTATAGAATATTAGTAAACAAGCAAAACTAATAAATTCATAGATCAGAAATTAGGGAAGATCCCTTTTCTTGGATAGATGCTAGCTATGATTTCTTCTATAAAAAAAAAATTAATAATAGAATAAATATCCCAGTTGAAAGAATAATTGTGATATTTATTCCCAGAAGCATACATTCATCTTATTGTTATAGATCTCTCAAAGCATTCATTTCATCGAATTGTAGTATTTCTCCGGAGGCATGTCATTTTATTTTCATTCTTTTTTCCTGAACAAATCATGCATATCACATTGTATCACTCTTCATTCTCAAACCTTTCAATAGTGCAAGATATTACAGCTTTGATAGAATTAGCATATCACATTGACAGTATATTCATCCCAAACAATTAATACAAGTTCATCAGCTATCCAGAATCTAATTGTTTTAATATATCTTCTGAATTTAAAATGAACACTCAACATTGATGGAGGACAAGACATTTGCTAGACATGCAAACATAGATGTAATATAAAGTTTGTCACCACTTAACACCAGCAATACAAGGAGACCTTCAGTATTTTCACTTCAGCCACTACTTTAGTTACCAAATCACCACCTTTTTTTCCCTTATGGATTCACCCTTTTATATTACATACAAATAAAAATTCAAAGGTTTCAGAACCTCAATGAAGGCATAGACCCGCTTCTAATTTTGTTCATATATTGATAAAATTTGACAAACAATCTTGTCCTTTTAAAACATGACTACATTAACTAAAACAGTCAGGTTAAGGAAAAGTACTAAGTTCATAACAAGAGAAGACAATCAAACCTGGAGTACAACCGAACTGATTATATCTGCATATCTTACAGCCAAATTGAGAGACATGCATCGAGTAGGAGCTATCGCGATGCATCTTATCTTGTTTCTCTGTATACCCAATTTGTCTCGATTATGAAGCACTAGCATTGTCAACAATGCCACAACCCCAGCCCCTAGAGAATGACCAATAAATCTCAACATATAAGTTGGATTTTCTGCTACCAGCTCCTTGAGAACCTCATATTCTGCATCAAAAACCCAACCTGCTGCCTTCAGCAACCCATTATGAACATAACCACCATGAAACTCAGCCTGCCCCAATTTGTTATCAAGCAAAACTGCATAATCACTTTCCTTTGCTAAATTGAGTCCACTAACAGCCAGTATAATTTCAGCATGATCATGATCAAGGTATATCATGTATGGAGTAACACGACCTTGGTTATCACCATAGTCCTTTCTTAAGATAACCCAATCAGGATTAATGCCATAACCTCCTTGGGGAGCCCATTGAGGGTTACGAATATCTTCTTCATAGACAGCTAAGATTAGACGACAGATTCGAGGTACAGGCTCAAATTCTTCTGCAGTAGCCAAGCCCCAATTCTCACTCTCATAGCCTGCACTATACAGACATTTTTTCCAAGCCCAACGAGCACAGGCCAGACAATAAACACACTCAAGTATAGGACATCCACAGATAAATGACATCAATGCCTATCTTTCAAGCATGTTGAGAAATGCTACAAAGCAAAATAATAGTTCATATCAATAACCTATGCCAATAGGGTTGAATCAAATAGCAATCAATAGAAACCCTACAGTTTTTTTTTTTGGTGGGAATGATTAGAGCAGAAGAAGGATTCAGAATATAAAAGAACTAAAGCAGAGACAATCACCAATAACTCTATGTATCAAACTTATCATATAAACTGAAAGCTTAATAGAAACAATAGTTATGGCTCCATACATGAACAAAGATGGTACTGATATACAAAACTCAGGAGGTTAAGACACATATATAGAAACTTAAAAAAAAAAAAATGCAAACTTTAAGTTGAATTAGAGCACCCCAGAACATTTTCAAAGATACCCAGTTTGTGAGAGTTCGTAAAATCCAAGAAACTTAGTCTACCCAAAAGCATAAAAGTAACAATCGAAAGTTCACCAGCGTAAGAGGAGTTGATTGTTCTCCACTCTTGCTTTGAGTGGTTACAAGCGGAAGCTTGTTTCCAAAAGGAAGATAGAGAGTTTGATGACTTGGGTTCTGGTGGGAATGACAGAGAAAGAAAGTAAAACAGAGAAAGGAAAAGTGAAGAGATAGAAACAGAAAGGAAGAATTGAGGAGAGAGTGAGAGAAAGACAAACATACCTGCCAGTCAAACCCATTCAATAATTTGATAGGTGGTGGTTTTTTTTTTTTAGAGAATGTACTCATTGGAATCATTTTATTCCATTTATTGATTCTAATAATAAATCAATTTTACAGTTCCATGCACCTACCATTTTATTATGGGATTATATTTTGTTACGTAACATTAGACTTCCAAATTTATGTGGAAGAGGAAAAAATTTAAAATAAATTATATACTTTTTTTGAATGTGTAAGAGAAATTTATTGTTTTCTATCACATAAGGCTAATATTTTCTTTTTATTATATAGAAAGTTATATGCAGCTCAGATTTTATTTATACTTACACTGACTCCAAAATCAGATAAATGAAAGATAGGGCTATGTTTGATTTCTGTTTTGCAAAACAGTTTTTTAGTTTTCAGAAAAAAAAAAACTAAAAAACTCGTTTGGTAATACTTGTTTTATAAAAAATGTTTTGAAAATTATAACTATTTTTTTATTTTATTTTTAAAATCAAATTTAGAGAACATATCTGAGTTATTTTTGTTTTCTGTTTTGGTTTTTAACTTTTAAAAAGAAAAAATATAAAAAACAATTGTTTCCATAACTATTTTACAAAACAGTTTTAAGAACAAAAAAATCAGAACACAATCAAATAAGCTTATGTCTTGTTTTTATATATGGGTTCGTTTTTTCTGCAGTTACTGCAGATAAGTTATTTACAGTAAGCCAATACGACGTCGTTTAGGGTCGAAAATCATGGTGTTTTTGTAATTTTAATTTATTTTAGGGTTATAATAATATTTATATTTATAATTTTTTAAGATATTAATACCAAAACGACGTCATTTTGGAAATAAATGCAGATAACTTCTCTACATTAACTGCGAAAATATTTTTCCCTTTATATATAAGTATCTTACGTGAAAAATTTCATTTTTTTTTATAAATTGTGGAGCAGTTAAAAAATGTAAATGTCGATATGTAAAGTAATTAAGTGTTTTTTATTTATTCCATAACACTAATTATCTTTTGGTGCAAGTCAATTTCTAAAATATCTTTCAGATTTGAGCGGGAAAAAAAATCACATATATATTTACGTGATTGAATTTTTTATATGGGAAAAATATTTCTGCATTTATTGTAGATAAATTATCTACATTTTTTCTAAAATGACGTCGTTTTGGTATTGAAATCTTAAAAAATTATAAATACAAAGACTATTATAACCCTGAAATAAATTAAAATTACAAAGATACCATGATTTCCGCCCCAAAACGACGTCGTATTGAACTTACTGCAAAAAATTTATCTGCAGTAACTGCAGAAAAAGTGAACCCTTTTTATATATTATATTATAGGAAAATATTACTCTCATGTTACATGAGAGTAGGGGTGGCAATATGGGTTGAGCCCGGCGGGTAAACCCGCCAACCCGCCAAAACGGGGCGGGTTGGGTTGAGATTTTTAACCCACCAACCCACCTCGACCTGCCCCACCTAGAAGTGGATCAAAATTGGTTCACCCCGCCGCGGGGCGGGTTGACCCGCCGGGTTTTAAATTTTTTTATTATTTTTTTATTTTTTTACAATTAGGTAGTATTTCATTAGTAATTAAATTTTTGTGATATTCAATTTTTTTTTATCTTAGTACTTTCTAGAAAAAATAAAGAATAATAATTTTATTTATGACAAATGTTATCTATTTATAAATTCTTAAAGAATGTTTGACAAATATTAGTATACATTTAAGATTGAGACTAAAAAAAATATAGAGAAGTGTGAAATAAAATAAAATAATATTAAAAATTCATAAAATATAATTTATTTTTGAATTTTAATTAATTTTTTTTTAATTGGCGGGTTGGTGGGTTGACCCGCCAACTCACCATAAAACGGGGTGGGTTCATTTTTACAACCCATATTTTTTGGCGGGTCAACCCGCCCTGCCCCGTTTTTGGCGGGTTGGTGGCGGGTCGGGGTGGGTCAACCCAAATTGCCACCCCTACATGAGATTAGTTTTCTCATGCTATAGAGAGAATTCAAGTGAGGCCCACTATTAAAAAGCAATAAAAAAGAAAAAATAGGGGATGTGATTTTCGAAGTGAGAGAACATGAGTTAAATATCTCATGTAAAATGAGAGTAGTATTTCTCTATATTATAATATTAAAACAAGACATGAGACGTTAAAAATTCTTTAATGAATAAATTATATAGTTACTGAATTGAAATCAATGTTATTAAAATTGGCCCGGTCATTGACCCGGTCGAGGTACTGGATCACTGGTTCAACCGCATGACCCGGTAATTATTTGTAATTTTATAATTTATAGTAAAAAATTATAAACATACTCAAATATCTAAAAAAATGATAAAATTTTCAAATAATAAATATAAAAAATAATAAATCACATATTATTGTCCAATAAAAGATCAAACAAAAATATAATGATCGTGATACGGGACTTTAGGTTCAGAAAATGACATCTCTAACTATAAAGTAATTCAAAATTTTCTGCATAGTATATAATTGAGATAATATTAGTGTTGTAGGTACATAACTTATGTAAGTCAATAAGCTAAAAAATATTCAAATATGTCCATTATGATTTTTTTGAAAAAAAAAAGTTTTGGAATTTTTTTATTTTTTTTGGACCGGGCCGGGTCACCGGTTAACCGACCGGGTCACCGGTTTTTATGAAAATTGTTCGGGTCAGACCGGGTCGCACCGGTTTTGATGCATGGCCGGTCCGTTGCTTAAATCGGAGCGGTTATATGACCGGTTTACCGGTTTCCGGGTCGACCCGGCCGGGTCGGTCCGGTTTTAATAACACTGATTGAAGAAATACATATTTATTTAAAAATATTATTCCAGATTTTTTTAATTAATTTCCCTTTTACAAATTTCGAGCACACCCGATTATATATAACAGATAGGTTATTTTTTTTAAATTGTGATAGTTGAATTTTTTATTATATCATTTAATTTCTTTATTTTTTAATGGGTTTGATGTTTCTTATATTGCATAAGATAAATTATCTCATGTAACACACAGCAAGTGAGTGTAACCACTTAAGAAGAAAAGAAAAAAAAAAAAAAGGAAAAAAATGAGTGTATAGAGTAAGAGAGCTACGTGCTCCATTGAAGCCTAACATAGAGTGCAAGTGTTTAAGCCTTTGGGGGTTATTAGGTTAAGGTAAGCATTACCATGACCCTTCTCTTGCTTTGAACATTATCACTAGAAATTAGAGAATAGATCTAAGAATTCCATATCTTCCATGTTGCAAGATGGCCACTGGTAGTGGCGGAGCCACGTTGTTCCCAGCTGGGGCCTTGGTCCTAGCTAATATTTAAAATTTAGCCACGTTTTGGATGTGGATATATAACTGTGGCTATGTTAAAAGGATAAGATTCAATTGTTGGCACTAGCTAAATTTTTTTGGCCCTACCTAGTTATTCTTGCTGGCTCCGCCACTGGCCACTGGTGACCGGCTCAAGCAGCTGAAAATCTGTGGTGAAAATTAAAGAAAGGGATTAGGCAAAAGGTGAAGTTATTAAAGCTTAAATTCTAGTAAGCTTGAATATAAGTTAAAACATGATAGAACCTTCTCTTTCATTCTGTGTGTTGATGTATTTACTTGGAAATTGCCTGTTTTGATGAAATTTAGAGAGGATGCAATGCAACCACCTTATATATGTAAGTGTGTAAGGAAATGAATAAGAGGTGTTCATCAACCGATTCAAACCGTTGTGACCAAATCGAAAAATCAAAAACTGAATTAATCGAAAATTGAAAAATTGAAAACCGAAAAAAAACCGCAAAATTTAATTGGATTAGATCGGTTTTTGGATGGACCGATGAAAATCGATCCAATTATTTTTCAACCTTACCATCTACCTACTTGGGTCTTTCCCCAATCATAACCCGAAAATCATATAGCAAAATTCTAAATCCAAGACCCATTAATCCATCATGTTAGAGAAAGTGAATTGTGCTTGATCTATGTTATGATTTTTTTTTTATAAGATACATAATATATTTTTATTACATAGGTTATTGTTGTACAACTCCTCTATAGGATGAAATTTGGGTTATTTCGTATCTCAGACAACTATATTATAAATTTTTTGTTGAAAGTAAAAGATGATAATTTAACTTTTGTTGTACAATGCTTCTAGATTGCAATATAATTATCATACAAACTTTGGCAAAAAAAATTAAAATATTACTATTTTAATAAATAATTACGAATACATAGTTGTTTCAAAACTATCTACGGATCTATTGCACTTATTCATGCCCAAATTAGGCGTGACTATTCACGTCTAAGTTAGGCGTGACTCCCAAGGCATTCACGCCTAAATTAGGCGGGCTCGTTTGGTGTTGACACGTGGCACAAAAAATTAAAAGTTTAATCGTAAAACTTTATAAGGCCATAACTTTTAACTCGGGTATCCGAATGAGGTAATTCTTTTTTTGATTCCACATAACTTTTCGAGATCTACGCAATGACATCTCATTTGATATGTTTTATCTCTCACAAACACAATTCAAATTTACAACAATGATACTATAAAGATGGCACCAAAGTGGATTAACTCATATATAAATAAGATGGCACAAAATTTCTTATTAAATACAAAACGCAATCAGCTCATATTAAATACAAAACACAATCAACTCCTATAACATTAAATTCAAAATTCAAATAACCACCACCAAATTTATTTGAATTGGCGACAATCTGTAACCAACTCATAAAATTACAATGCAATCAGCTCCTATTAAATACAAAACACAATCAACTCCTATTAAATACAAAATGCAATCAACTTATTGGAGGTTATTTGAATTTTGAATTTAATGTTATAATACCATTATTGGGCGTGAATGAGTGCAATATATTCGTAATTAGGTTCAAAACGACAACTTATTCGTAATTATTTTTAAAAAAAGCAA